TTTTTCCTGCAGCCACTACACATACTCAAGGCTATTGTTGATTCTCAAACCTAGTGTTGTCTGACCATGTCAGACAGCAGTTCAAAACTGTTGTGGTGTGAAAAAAGTCTGAATGTGAGTTTGTTGATTTCATGAAGTTACAGAAAGAGAGTGCTTGCAACTACTAATAAATACAAATAGTTCTCATAAATACAAATCTAACAGACTGATGAGGACATCAGTCTTTTTATCAACAGCCTCAGTGGTCCGATCCAACAATCTCTAAGACACCGTGATGCTTTGCAGACACTTTATTACACAAATAACATAGTTACTGAAAATAGTACTCTTGCAGCAAAACCAGTGTATTACAACAAATATCAGAGAGCCCACATGTGAATGTAACATCAGAAACCTATTGCATGCTGTTAAGGAAATCGATCATTCACACTTTATGGCAAACAGAGGATATGGACAGAAACAGAAGTACTGAACTATAATAATGGTCCGAAAATACAGGATGACATTCAAAAATGGGAAATGAAATCTGAATCAGAACTGAAACGCCTAAATGGACAAACCACCCTGTCCTTATCCATCTATCTTAGTCGTTACTCTGTGTGTGTACGGTATGAGGCGTGTTCTGTGAATGTGCTTTTTTATGCTCATTAATAATTGCAATGCTATTTGGGCTTATCATGCATTTACTTGTTAACATCATATTTCACTGTGCTGTAGGTTTAACTGCCCTAAAATATTTACGGCTTTGTATTCATTCTACATATGTATTATTAAGCAGTTTCTCAGTTGCCACTGCTTTTTGTAGTTTGTAGTTAATGAGTTTTGGTGTAACAGCTACAGGGCCTAAGACTTGCCTGCTGTACAATAGTTGATGGCACCGTGTGTGTGCACACACACACACCTACACACACACACACACATTTTGACAGAAATAAACATATGTATATGTAATAACAATTTTATGTTCACTTGAAGGCAGGAGATGTCTTTATAGTTCAAGATCTACTAGCAGCAACTGTTTTCATCCCTTGGTACATGTTGTAATGGCAGGTGACAAAGAAAGGCAAAATACAATATAAAAAGGCACAGAATTACAAGTGAAATGTTACTGAATTGAAACATAAACATTCATGTTAAAATAAAACTATGTGACATGTTACATGGAAGAGATTTATGCAAGGAAGTTCTGTTCTTTTCCAGGAAAACTACATTGTATTTACAGTATCAGTGCTGTGAGACTGTTCATCTTTGAATAAAATTGCACAATATCCACTCAATTAATCCTGCTGAACTGATTTCTTACTCAGATCATGACATGTTGCAAAACTTACACTGTGTTTAATTCCAGTACTTACTCGAATAAAAACAGCAAAATAAACAATCAACCACTAAAATAGGGACAACAGCGATTTCATACATGTTTCCTCAGGGCCCAGATTTATAGGAGCAAGCAGAGACCAACACAAGTGGTTGTGCTTAGGCTACATATTTTTTTTCTATAAATCAAGCAGATCTATGTTGTAGAGCTGTCCCAGAATAAAGAAAAGTGACTTATATTTTGTGACATCTTTGCAATGTAAATCCTGAGCTGAGCAGGAATGCCTGGTGGGGTTGGTACCTCCTCGAACATGGACTGCTGTTTGAATGTGATTTAGTAAACAACTTAGTCAACCCTATGGAACTGTATGAACCTCATTTTGTTGTGGCCAAACAGATGAAGATGTGTGTAAGAGTAGTTTGACAAAGAAAAACAACTAATTCTTTATAAAGATTCTAAAAGAACATAAAGTTATAGTTATGACAGATGAAGAAAGATGCTTAAAATGTGCAAATTTACAAACTTATAAAATGTGGCATCCATGATTAGCATCACCAGTTAACTATCCGCCCAAATGTGAAATATGGTCACAGTATCCCCTTCTGCTCCTGAGATAAGTCGTTGAACAAAATTTTTGTTTTGTGGAACTTTATGAAGTTGGCCTTTTGAATATTAAATAGCATCACTTCATCATTTTGTCCTATTAGATATTTTTGTGAACGGCTGTCATAATTAGTGTACAAATTATTGAGTTATGGCACAAAACACGTTTTGTGAGGTCACAGTGACCTCCAAAATCGAAACCAGTTCATTTTCTAGTGCACATTAGTACCACATTCGAAGAAACTTCCTCATGGCATTCCTGAGATATCATGTTCCCGAGAATGGGAGAATGGGACAAACCATCTGAAAACACAATGCTTCTTGTCGCTGCTGTCACTGGCAAGGAGGTGTAAAAATCTTTTTGTCAGAATCACTAATTCAATGTTAATTAGCAGAGTTTAGTTTGTTGTTGTTGAAAACAAATTTACAGCAGATTAACTTAAAAGAAAAAAAAAAAAAAAAGACAAACATGCTTCTGAAATGTCCGTTCTCAGCTCAACATCTGAAAACCAACTGCTTCTGAATTACCAAAATATCTCTTTGCAATAACATCTGATTGCATCTCAGGCAAAGCTCATCACAGGAGAATACATTGCAAACTGTCACTGTGCTAAATGATCTGGTCATAGTGGCAACATAAGAACTGAGCCTATAAGGAAATGACTTGTTTATAAAAGTTGTTTAGTAAAGTTGAACTTATTTTCTTATTAGTTAAAATGAAAACAAATGAGCAGATTTGTTTTCCTGTTTTAAGGCTAAATCTGACATTATATTTTACAAACATGCTTCCATCTTGAATCATCAGGGACCTTCTGCTCAACCATTTCTGATTTGCTTGCCTTTTTTCATAAACTATGGATATTTAAAATTGTATCTGTGAAACTTTAGGCTGACATATTACATACTTTCTGAAATAAAAACTATTTAAAAATTGGCCAAATATTAACTTTTAGCACGTTTTGAGTGAATAAAATTTGAGGCTGTGTTTGCATGACAACATCCCAAGAACAATAAAAGATAAAAGCCTGAAATGTTTTACTGTTATGTCTTATCCTGCCATTGATTTAGAATCTGCAATACTGGACAAGAACATCCAAAAATATCTGAGTGGTTTGGAAAAGAAATAAATCCATCATGAAAAGTGAGAACAACAACTACAACAGCAGCAAAAAAGATAATGCAAAAGTCAGCTACAGATATTTATTGAACTATATGTCGTTGCATGGCAGCTCTGGGGCCACTGGTGTATGAATGTGTGTGTGAATGAGCAACACATTGTAAAGTGCTTTAACTACCACTAAGGTAGAAAGGAGCTGTAGACCATTTCGAAACTCCAGAACTGTTCTACTTGGATTAGGCTATCGAGCAATACTTTTGTTTTGGTTGTACAACTTGTCGTACCTGCAGCTATGGAAGTTCAACAAAAATAACTTTTTTTTTGTTGTGGGCATCAACTTTTTCAAAAATATTTCAGCTCACCCTTATAATCAGACACTACTTGATCTACAGTTGTGAGCAAAAGCTACATACACTTAGATTTTCGCTCTTATTTCTCATCATGCCACTGACAGTCTGCAATGTTGGACAAGTAGAGTTGTGAAGAAAAGCTTACATACACTTGTAAAGACCATAACTCTGAATTATCTGAATTATCTATGATGAAGTCACTGAAACTGCTGTTATGCCACTGTCACACACACAAAAAACACACAATATAAAGTAGTATGACAACATCTGCTGGGTCAAAAATATAAAAGCTAATATTTGGTTAAACATCCTTTGAGCATTTCCACCTAAATTAGGCACATTTGGTAGCTACCTACAAGCTTCTGGTTGTATCTTTGACCCTCCTCTTGACAGAATTGGCACAGTGAAGCTAAATTTGTTGGCTACTGACACAGACTTCATCACAATCCACAGGTTCTTGATGGGTTTAAGTCAGGACTCTCTGGCTAATGACTTTAGGTGTTTTTTTTTTTGTTTGTTTTTTTAAGAATATGGAGGTAATCCTCCTTCTTCATTGTTCCATTTACTTTGTGTAAAGCACCTGTTCCACCCCCTGCCTACCAGCTCCAGAGCATAACACTGCCTCCACCATGCTTGACATTAGGGTTGGTGTTCTTGGGGTTAAAGACCTCACCTATATCTTCTCAAAACATATATCTGGTCTATGTTCATTGCTCTTCTTGGCCTTAGGGTGCCACTTCTAGAAGGGCTTCTGTCTTGCATGGCAGCCTCTCAGTCAGTGGTGATGCATGTTTGTCTCTGGTTACTGACATCTGTGTTCCAACAGCTTCTAATTCATTACAGAGCTGCTTTTTGGGATTCTTATTTGACTCGTGACTAATTGTCTCTCAGCAGAAGCTCACAGGTTGTGTTTTCTTCCTGATCACTTTCAGTAACACAACTGTACCATGAACTTTATTCTTACAAACAATAGTTTGCACAGATGATTTTAGGATCTGCAGCTGCTTTGAATGGCTCCAAGTGACTTTCCTGACTTGTCCACGTCAATGATTTGCTTTTTGATTTTTTTTTGAGCTCCTCAGACTTTCCCCACAGTAGTGTGTGTGTGTTTGAGTCTAATGAGTAGATCAAATGTGTCCTATTTAAATTGACTAAAAGAAGTCAGCAGCTGCAGCTAAACATAATCACTCACCAACAGTTAGAAGGCCATGCCACTATGAGAAGTTGATTGACACAGCTTTCTACATCACCAAAGCAACTAATTCAAGTTGTTGTATGTATATAAATCTATGAAAGGACCAAAGTGCATTATTGTTTTGTGACAAACATGCATGGGTTTCAATGATTCATCATAAAAAACTCAGTTATAGCAGTCATTAGAAACTCAAGACTGTCATAATATACATAGTCTTTACAAGTGTATGTGAGCTTTTGTTTTTGACTGTACTTGTCCAACATTGCAGATTATAAATTAGTGGCATGATGAGGAATAACAGTAAAAATGTAGGTGCTTAATGGTTTCTGAAATATTGTTATTTAAACATAGTCTCAAATTTTAATGTGTGAAAAAACGTGCTAGAAGTGGGTCAATGGTTAAAAAAAGAGAAATAAAAATATATAAATACCTTTACAAATATCTTTTATATATATATATATATATATTTTATGCTATTGATTTTTCAGGCAAATCAGAAATGGTTGAGCCGAAACTGTTCTAAAAGTTTAACTGAATGGCCACATTTGTCCTGTGGACTGTGCTGATAAAACCATAAAAGAAAGTTAGATTTTTGGAAAACAAACAGTGACTTGGGTGAATCGTGTCACCAAGGCGTTATCTAGGCCAGGGGTAAAAATAAATTAGGATAAAATAAATTACCTAAATTATGCCAAATAATTTGTATATACAACAACATATTTAAATATATAAACAGTAAGACTGGCAGCTGATACAACAGTTACACAAATGATGAATAATCACATCTCAGCAATGTAAGCAGGAAGTTAGCGGCTGACCCCAGAGCGTCTAAGAGGATGACTGAGGTGGCGGCAGAGCAGAGTATTCCTCATTCTCAGAGTCGCTGCTGTCCTCATCGTTCCTCTCTTGGTCGCTGCCTTCAGTACTCAGCTGGTCAAAGCCTTGACGACTGTAACCTTTATGGGACGCGAAGAAGTTCCCCAGGTTCAGACTGCCCACTGCTTTACCTGGTCGAAGGAAAAACATGAGAGAGGAGAAAATGAAGCGCCACGAACATCACACGTCATGACAATATGACACACTAAAGTTTTTACAAAGACAAATGTTTCTCTTTTAAGTAAGACTTGTGACTCAAGCATTTAAACTGGCCATACAGTAGTACATGTACACTGGAGTATGTCTGGCTCCTCGTGAAATCAGGAAAAGAACCCAGCTTCACATTTAAAATGTTTTCTAGTCTTTCCAAACCTCCAGAGTGTAACAAAGATAAGTGACAACTCCTCCTGTAGACGTGGTGACAATAAAGAGGGCAGCTTCACAAAGGTTATAGAGGACGTTATTAAAATGATCATGTAACTTTGAAAATGTACAATACCATTATGATTTTCCGACTATGTGCTACTGGAGCAAAAATGAAAATGAATTTATATAATATAATATAAATTGCAAGGGGCAATGATCGGAATATAACTAAATTGTAAGCACCATGACTAGGCCCTTGCATCTTCATTCTCAATAGGGGGTGCCATGGTCGAGGACTCTATTGTGGACATGGACTCCTATTGGGTGATGCAGGGGAGTTACATATCACTTCCTGTGTCTACCATGGGATGTAAGCGAACACCCACTAATTATCCATCATGCTGCTGGATACCATGTAGAAACAATCCTGCACATTTAATGTTAATCGGACCATGTTTGTTACATAAGGCTAACTTCCTGCTGCCAGTAGGTGGCACTATGACTATGAAACGTTTTCAAGCTAGGAGTCAGACATGTAGGTAAAAACAAGCCTTTTTGCCACACCTACGCACAAGATCCACACAACATGAAACGTTTTACTTGTGATGTATGTGCAGGTCTTCATGAGTTTTCGAGCACCTTTAGCCTCCACAAAAATGCAAATAATTTAAGAGAGAAGGACAAACAATAACCAGAGCAGTGTAAAGAGTGGCCTCGCAGTGGGTTAGGGTTAAAATGCAAAACTGTATGGGCTGTTGAATATTATATTTTCAAAATCATATCCCACTGCACAGTGGATAGCATTGAAATGTTAATTTAAATTTCAGAAATAATATGCGATATAAACAATGTAACCAGGCTTTCTATTTATGCAAGCAATATTCATGTCACAATTAAAATAAAATAAAATAAATTAACTTCAATTTGAGAATGCATTTCAAATTCTCATTTTCTAAGAGCTAGCCTGCTCTAGAGTGGACAATGTTCAAATGCAATAAGCTGGAAGACTATTGCATTTATACTAAGATATCACTACGCTCTTTTGGTGTCAAAATGAAAATAAAAATTCCATCTGTCAGTCCTCTCATCAAAGCAGGTCTTCAATTCAGACATCACCCCCCTATTCAACTCTTTATCAGGACAGCTTCACACTGAGCGCAGGAAATGAAATCAATCTGCCCATAATTACACGGTAAAAGAGGATGTAGTAATCTCAAGGTTCGTTCAAACGTCATTAACAAGGTTAGGTGGCCAAATTGTTTTATCAGAGACTGTCCAAGACTCCAGTGCTCTGTATCAGTTGCTCTGTTAAAAAAAAAGCCAGTGCTATCAGATTGCGTAGATTTGTGAGACGTTTAATTGTAGGTCTGGCTGTTATCTCTGAGCAGATAACCAGCTGTTTATATTGTTAGATATCAGTGCCATACCAAACCATTTGGAGCCATTGCAGGGTAACAACATCCTGAGGCTGTTAAATGTAGTAATCAGTTCAGATGCACCAAAATAATATGTCTTTAAAATTGTAAGAAAGAAAAACAACATCCCAGTGTTACACATGCAGCTTGAGTGGTGGATTAGAAACATTCCTGTCCTTTGACTACGTAAAAACAAAACGCCACATGATAAAAATACAAGCCTTGTAGTCAAATTACTATCAAATTCATTTATAATTTAAAACATTTCAGGACTTCGGTCAGGAATGGGTCAAATAAAATGACTGGGACAGTAACTAGTAATAGAATGGAAACACTCAGGCAAAGTATCTCAAACTATGTATAGGTTAGACAGTGTGTAAAAATTACAGTTTAAATACTATATTTCATTTTCAGTGCCACAAATGACTTACCTCTTATTTTTCCCAAGATCCCGACCCCAGTGTTGGGTTCAGTCTTCACCTCACATTGACCTGCAAATATTTAACAATATTAGCTGAAAGCTGATCAAATATCAAGAGAACAAAGTAAACAAAGCAGAACAATGTGCAGTCAGTAAGGGAAAGGGAACATATACAGTAAATATGTAAGGGCTTGTAACCCTCATCACATGAAGTGTGTGGCTTCATTTCTATTTATTGCTGCTCAAAATCTAAATCTTTGGGACCACTTCTGCACACTACACAATACATACTATTTTTCTTCCAGCAAATGAAGAGTCCTATGGAGATGACAACCAGCAGAGGGATGAGCAGCAGGGTGGTGACGATGGCTGGGAGAACTCCCTTCTCTATGTTTGGCTTTGCTGCACTCTTCTTCTCTTCTTTTGGCTTCGCCTCTGGTTGAGTTTGTTTAGACGCAGTTTGCTTCTCTTGAACGACTGCCGTCTTCAACATGTTGTCACCTGGACTCACATTGGTTCGGACAAATGCCTCCATTTCTACAAAGAGAGGAATGTCAAGATTAACAGGGTTCACACTCAGCTTCTTTTCTTGGTTGGAGATGTGAACATTTAGCATTCTCATTGAACATTCGTCCACTGACTCCTGGTTGTTGATGGTAGTTGATGCTGTACAGTCGTGACTCGATAATCCGACACTAAATGTAAAACCTTCTTTTATGTCTGATAGCAAGGCTGTCGGACTTCAGGTCAGAATAATTGTGCAAGACACGTCAGCATGAACTGTCATTTGGTCCCAATAGCACATTCTGGATCTATCATACTGACAGAAGAAAACAAAAGGTACATTCACCCAAATGTGTTGGTGAAGACTGAATGTTTTTTTTCTGGATGATGATGCACATCTTCAAACACAATGTGAGGCACCGAATAGGGTAAATGAGTGTCATCTCATTAGGTTACACTTTTGTTCCAAGGGCTTACATAGAAAACAGTTGCAGGTGTTTTGATGCATGTCACATACTGCTCACATACTGCGTTGCCCTGTAGCATCAATAAACATGAACGTCAAGGCAACCAGCAGCAGCAACTACTTCAGACTGTAAGACTCCACTAAACTCACCTTCAAGTTCTTCAACCTTGATTCCAGCTTTCTTGACAGAGCGATGCAACTCTGTAAAATCAGGATTAAAAAGATCAAGGTATTAATAAGTGCAGTAATGGTTAGAGGTTAACAACAATGCCATGTTAAATCACAGGCAGACAATTTATTTACAAAGCCGGCTCATAAAGAAAAAAATAAAAAAATTCAGTATTCTGACCACAGAAAAGTATGACCGAAGAAGCTACAATGAGTTCTGTGAGAACATTTAATAATTTATTATAGTGGTAAGGAAGCTGAGTTTACTCAGAGTGGTGAATTTGAAGACCGACTGGCTGCCTGCATCCCCGACAAACACGCTGCCATCCTTGGTTTCAACTATGTCGTGAGGCATTTTAAAGTCCTGCAAATGAAGGAAAATACAGATCAATACAAAAATCTAGGCAATGTGAGCCACCATCAGATAATCCCAATGTCCTCAGTACAGTACATGTCTGTATGGTTCTGAAGGTAGGGAGTGAACTTGCAAACCTGGGATCAACTTTGTTTATGGCAGCTTACTCTAATTCAGCATAAAAGTATCTAAATATCAAACTGCACCATTTTAGAACAACCAAAATTGGCAGGCAGATCAAAAATCAAGAAGCAATCCTAATTATATGCAAGTCACTGTGGAAATTTGCAGTGTTATGACTGATACTAAGAAAACTGCATTCCCTAAAAAGCTTAAATGGCTACACATATACTAATAGCTAATCAGCTGTGCATTGTATCCATAAACAACTGTTTGTATGCCTTTACTTGATCGAGGTGCAAACAGACCTCAAAACAGGAGCTGAAGTTTAGTTTGTTGTTTCCAGGTATTTGTAGGAATCTTTCTACTCTGGTCATTTAATCCCTGCAGCATCAGACGGCAGTGGGTAGCAAATCAGTGTCTCCAAATCAAAGAAGGTGTGTGCATTTACACACACAACACAGCCGTATCATCACTAAATACTTGTAAATGATCACTGACATGGAGACAGTATCAGTTAGGATGTAACAGACATTTACACTGTGCACTTTCTTTACCTCAGGAAGGGGAGCTGCCACAAAGAGTCAGTTTGTCAGCTGCAGTTAAATCATTTGATACATATCTGAATCCTGAGCTTCGTCACAGCTGGATATTAATTTACTGTAAAAGTCTGATTCCAAGGCCAAAATATTTAATAATAATTAACACCTTTTTGCCCTAAATCATACACAACCTACTGCGGTGTTTCAATACAGCATCGACAGAAATAAGTGACAGATGGAGTACATTTGTCTGTATGTGTCTGTTTAATTTTCCAGGTAAGTCAATGTAATGTCATTTGAAGTCTGTTTACCTTTTTGTTTGGGCTGAAGGTATCCAAAATATCCTTGGTTGAATAATTTATTACAAAACCACTGACTGGAACTGAGCGAAACGGAGATTCCCCATTTACTGCAAAGATTAAGCCACCTACACACACACACACACACACACACACACACAAACACAGAGAAATAACCATTAGGAACATACAGTACTGCAATTTGAAGGGAGTCTCTGAATTAACAACTGCTAAGGCTAGCCTTTTAGCTGCACTGGACACTGGAGCCTAAATTTCCCTTAATACAATTCATCAACATCTTTGTCAGACCCTCTCTGCTTGATAATGTCATGACATTATCAGGGTTTTGTCATGTCTGACAAAACTCCTCCAGACCTCTGAAAGATATTATACAATTATCTACAGCAACACAGGCTATGGAACCCTAATCATGATGAACAATTATGGCTTATTAACTATCTGGCAACAACAACAATAAAGACAGAGATAAATCGACCTGATGTGATGCTCAGTCAGTAAACTCACCCCCAGCAGGGCTGTAGGTGATGGCAAACACCTCCCCTCCGAACTCCTCTTTCTTTATTTCCTTGACAAATTCTCCAGTTTGAGCTATGAAACACTGGATACGTCCATTCTCCCTGTCAGCCACACAAACTTCCTTTCTGTCAGGAAGAAACACCAGGCTGTGGGGGATCCGGAACGGTATGCGTCTTCTTCTATCCGATGAGCCTGCAGTCACAAAAAATAGACGAAGATGTGCAAACTGCGTTCAGTGTTGCATTGGTGGCAGTGATGTATAAACCTAATGAATTATGGCAATATTAATAAATCTGTTTGATGAATCTGAAAGCGGAAACATTGGCAAATCTACAGTAACTTCTAAAAAAAAAGAAGGAAATTGGGGACTGCTAACAAGTTGGTCATGGCTCAATCATAACGCATCGGTTTACAGTGCCATGATATAGAAAAAACAGAGTGAAAAAGGACATAAAATTGATGCATGTTCTGGATTTTACAGCTAAAATAAAGAACAAATTAATTTAAATCCCTGCAAAAATATCATGCAGTCTGTCCCTGGGGTGGTTGCAAATCCAACAGGAAAAGTGGTGCCTTCACTGAAATACTTAAATACAAAATTTACTTACTTGACTTTATTTTGCTGAAATTGTTAAAAACCCAATGTAAAATACTTTGTTACTGTTGAAATGTTTGCACTAAAGTTAGTTAAAGCTACAGGTCATAATATGAGCTGGCCAGAGGGCAGATGCCAGAGGAGTGTGCATAGGAAAGACATGTTCGACTGCAAATAACTTGTTTTAGCAATGAATGATGGCAGGATCTCACAACTGAGTGGAAGCCACTGCTATGATTGTGTGGACTAATGATGGAAAGTTCGTTGACCACACGAGGGATCCAGTGAGGTCAGTATTTTTTTCTTGGTAATCGACAACCAACGTAATTCTTGTATGTATGGCCCACTGCTAACTGGTACAGTAACACACACATAAAATGGTAATAATTTCCCTCAACCTAAAAACAAGATAAATGTAATGAGTACACATATTAAGTTGGATAAAACTAAAAGGCTAACCTACTTTACAGCCTGGAACTTGTCCTAACTTAGTGAAGAACTGGTCTGACATTTCTGAAATGTATAATATACATATTAAACCTGAGGAAGACACAGCAACACATCCTCTAATGTCATCTACTCACACCCAAAAACTTAGTTTATATACTGGAAGTAAGAGGAGGTCTTTCCTCTCAAACAGTGACTCGATCAACTTAAAAACACTCTGCAACTTGAAAGAGTAAGGCCTCTGTGAAAGGACAAAATGGTGTTCAACAGGTTTTGGAAGTCATAGACTGCCTGTCTCTTCCACTGCTTGATTCTAGATACCTCTGGTTTGTGTTTGTGTGTGTGTGTGTGTGTGTGTCTAGTGATTCAGATACCTGCACCCCACTCAGACAGGTATTTGCCATCAGCAGAGAACTTAATTATCCTGGAATTGCAGTAGCCATCAGACACAAAGATGTTCCCAGTTTCGGTGTCAACTGCCACGTCGGTGGGCTTGCAAAAGTGGTCGTTGTCGCTCCCTGGTGTGAAAGCCTCTCCCAGTTTCACCAAGACTTGATCTCTGCCATCACTGCTCACTTTTAACACCTGATGAGGGTACAGAAGGAGCAGAAGGTGTGTGCACATGGATTTGAGCCTTCATGTCTCTGCCTAGAAATAAAATACAGCTTCCAAATACTTTAGAAATGTACATAAATTATTTAATAAATAATAATTAGTTCATCATCAAGAGATCATTACTGCGAATTACTGAAAAAACCTAAATGTTACATTTACTAATGTGATACGGAAAGCTGACATTGCCTTTGATTTTCATGGATACAACAAGGACGAACAGTAATTTTGGCTCCTTTCAGACATGCACCCTGTTTGGATAATGTGACGGCACCTGAACGTGTCAGCTTCATGTCTGAAGCACCACAATTTGAATGAAAGTCATTCCAGCCATGTTACCAGATCAGACCTAGTAACATTCTGTACTTCTACAGCCTAGATTAATGACACTCACCACTAATGAATGTAGTCCAAATTATTTTTCCCCCCACGGCACACTAACAGGGGCTGAAGTTCCAGCAGTTTAGGACTATTTTCTCAGAGTTTATTAAATATCTGAATGACAGAATGTTATCACTTTGACAGACTGAGGAAGCCAGCAGTGCTTCATATCCCATGTCTGAAAAGGGTTTACTATTTAGTTATGGGATTTAACGGGTGCTATAGGTACTTTTTAAGCTAAATAGTTCACTAAAAATATGTAAAGCTGTATAGTCCACAGCACTTCCTAAATAATCAGATATTACTGGCTGGAGGCAGCTGATTATGAGCACCGAATACAACACCAGCTTACCTGATGAAGAGCCACATCAGTCACCCAGTAATTATTCTCCTTGTCTGTAGTTATTCCATGAGGCAAGTAAAACCTGCAGCAACAGAGAAATGCAGCACAACAAGACAGGTTTGACTCCGATTGTAATGCCAAAGAGAAATTCCCGGCTGTCTCTGTACACACACACACCACTCACCTTCCTAACAAATACAAATAAATCACACTATCACTTACATGTTTCTGCCAGAAGCCTTCAAGATGTTTCCTTTTGCTGGGTCCACAACCAAAATAGTAGACTGCTGTATTGGCCCCAGGGACCTCTGCTGGTATCTAGCCTGGCTGTTAAAAGAGCTGAAAACACACAAACAAAACACAAAGGATTTATTTCTAGATCCACTGGGAGAGTATGTGACCATTTTTTAACACTGATTTTTTATCTTTTAACTATTGGAGTGTTTTCCTAAATTCCTAAAACTCTTGCTATTAGACTTTGTAGTGGCATAAAACAAACCAAATAAGGGAAATGCTTCTCCTAACTAATAATGTGTTTGTGATCCACAATGGCAAATTAAATTTCTATTTTGATTATACAGGTAATAAATCCATCCATTATCTATACACCACTTAATCCTCACTAGGGTCGCGGGGGGGCTGGAGCCTATCCCAGCTGACAAAGAGAGTAAGCAGGGTACATTCTGGACAAGTTGCCAGCCCATCACAGGTCCACAGAGATATGAATAAACTATGAGAGACACTTTTAATCTGCAAAGAGAAGTGCTTTTTCATCATCTAGTTGCTTTGCCTGTGCGACTGCAACAATAACATCTCATTACTGAAGTGAGCACATTTTGAGATACCACAGTACAAGATTTAAATATGGGGAGTAGATCTGTGTTGTCTGCCAGCAAAGGTAGCTCAAGGAGCTAATGATAGTGAGCACTCCAGTCAAACCAGTAACATTTAAAACATTACACTTTAGGGGTTTAGCTTCAACCAGTCCTGTAAAAGAAAATGGCTGTATGATACATTAACGCTACTTACTCTGCGCCCCAGTGGTGGTCACCTCTGTGGAAAATGACCAAGTTGGAGTCTGAGTCTACTGCGAGTCCTGACACTTGACCCAGCTGCAGAGAACCCTGTGGCCATGCTGTGACTTGCTCCAAATGGAAGTCTAGAGCACACATACAGACACAGACACACAAACCCGGGAATTAAGATAAGCTCAACACGATGTCAAAAGTGATCACTGGTAACTGTTCATAAAAGAGGCTTCACATTGATTACTGTATCCCTGTCCTGATGTTGCAACGAAGTCACATTAAGACATGACAAAAAGTTGTGTTGTTTTTTTTATTTTGCTGCTAGTAGACTGGCAAGAAAGCCCCACCTCTCTCAAATTTTAAAATGTCTGTTTGTGCTTCTGAGTGTTATAGTAGTTTGAATATAAGGGGTCTCCACACTGGGTACACTTGGAAATAACTACAATATGTTTGTCCAGCCACATTGGAAGTTGTTATAGATGAATCACCAACCATCAGATGATCACATGAATGCCTTATACATCGATCAACCACAACATTAGAACCACTGACGGGTCAAGTGAGTAAATTGATCATCATGTTACAATGCAATGTTCTGCCGGGGAACCTTGGCTCCTGGCATTCGTGTGGATGTTACTTTTGATACGTACCACCTCCCTAAATATTGTGGCAGACTAAGGAAGCCCACCCCCATGGAAACAACACTCCCGTGGCACACAGCAAAAAAACTGTGTAGGAACAACTCAAAAACACGAGAAAGAACCTAAAGGCATTGACCTTGGCTTTACACTCCGCAGATCCAACCTGAACAAACATCTAATGCAGGAACAAGGCCAATTAACCTTGCAAGCTACACCACCCAAAGGATCTGCTGCTAAGGTCCTGAAATCAGACACCACAGGACACACAGGTGTTGACAAAAAAAAGTACCATAAGTTGGTGCAAAACACATGAAAAAAGAAAGCATGCAAGAGAGAATCAAAAACTCTGTGTTCTCACTTCTGCACAGCCAACCAACCACTGTGAGAAGTAGGTGTCAATGTTGGATTAACAGCTTTGGAAAACATACAACAACAAATCAACAAAACTCTCAGCCAAATTCAGTTTTAGGTTCCTTTATTGTATGTTTTGTCTCTTATTTGGCAAATTTATTACACTCATAAAATGAGTTTGGGAAGGTGGGCAGAGAGGTTGTAGTCATAACTGTATGTTGTTTCTGAGTTGGAGTGTAGCCAAATAGTTACTGCTACTGGATTATTCCTGGTAAATAAATAATAAATTGAAGAAAACAAGGGTGGTCTAATAATTTTCTCCATGACTGTATATTCTTTGCTGGATCCTTTCTTTTTCTTTTTTGAATGTGTCCTTGTTGGTCCATGCTGCTGAGTATGGTGAGAGGGAAAAGTCTTTACTGTCTGACTGTCAAAAAAAGGTTTGTTGGAGGGCAGGAAGATTATGGAGCATTTCAAGCTGGGAGGGATTTCACACGGCTCCTGTGATCATTGGTAAACTGGGTGCTGGCTGGTCAGCAAAGCCTTTCAGACAGGAGGAGAGTGATGTGCTTATCTGTCTTCCTCTGAAACACAGCTAACTTCAAACACCTGAGAGCAGATGAGGAGCCAGTGGGTTAGGGAGAGTAAATTTAACGGGATGCAGTTGGTTTCATGATACCTGAGTGTGTGCAGGTGAGAGATGTAAACTGTTCTTCCCAAAACCACGACAAAAGTTTAACCAGAATAAACTAGTAAGATTTGTACATGCACAGTTTCAGCCTGCTATCCAAACTCAAATTCTCTATTTCTCCTCTGTAAACACAGCCTGAAATGCATTCCAGTCATCGTCCAGTTGATGTCAGTAACTGGACAACGTGGCGGTGCGAGCTCCTTACATACATCAGAACTGACTATTCACACAACAGCTGACATTCACTGTCTTAGAGTCAATACATTCATCGTGGTCTGTGGAAGAACAAAAGATGGAATTACAGGCCTGCTGTTTAAAGCAGGCTTTATAGCTCTGACCACAGGCTTACCAGATTAGAATTATTACCTGTCGGTCAGAAGGTGATGGACCAAAGTTAAAAAAAAAAAAAAAAAAAAAAAAAACTATCTCAAAATATTAGAATATTTAATTGAGACTTTGAGTGCATTACTATTCAAACAGTATAAATACTGTCATACAATGTTGTCCAGTAGACAGTCACGGAAACGCCCCGGAGGAAAGGACACAGAAGGTCATTGCTGAAATGGCTGGCTGTTGGCAGACTGAAGAGTGTGGCAGGAAAAGGTGCACAAGCAACAGGGATCACTGCAGCCTTGAGCGGATTGTCAAATGGCTCGTTTCAAGAACCTCGGAGAGCTTCACACAGAGTGGACTGCGGTGGTGTCATCAAGTACAGATGTCTTCATGAAAGGAGCTACAATTGTAGCGTTCCTAAAATTGAGCCAATCCTGAACCAGAGACAACGTCAGAAGCATCTTACTTGGGCTAAGACCAAAAAGAACTAGACTGTTGATCAGTGGTCCAAAGTCCTCTTTTAAATTTACAGTTAGTTGTGCCACCTTTAGCAGCAACAGTTGCAACAAAACAATGGATGAGATGATGGAGATGAGTCTCTGACGTTGCTGTGGTGGGATTCTAATCCACTCTTCTTTGCAGAAATGAGGGCTGTACCACAAAGCAAGTCTGACACAGCCAGGCTTTCTTTGTGTAAGTCAGCTCGACAAAAACTACAAATCCCAGTCAGCAATAACAGGTATCACAATGGGGGTTGTTCAGACTGTACACGTTCACATAAAAGGAGGTATTTAATGTGTCATGTGGCTCCAAACAAAATGGTCTGATGGTGTTCCACCTACTTCAGTCAACAGGTTTCAATGTAGAGCACAATATATACAAATATATATCAAATTATGACTGTAAAAAGTGCTGCTACTACAGATGACGCAAGATGGGAATGCTGGTTAAAAAAAACTGTTACTCGTGTTCGTCACATGTAATCACCAATTCTCTAGTCTGTGCTCTATCAGCTGCAGTACCAGCAGTGGTACAACTTCTGAAGGCACGAACTGAAAATAAGACTCTGGATTGAAGCCAGAACTAGCATACGAGTAAACTGTTCCCACGTGAAAATGCATTATTAGGCATTCTGATTGAAAACAGAGCTGAGTTTTAAAAAAAAAATAAAATAAAAAATGCATTAGGCTGCACTGGTGAAGGCCGGGTGAGCAACATCCATGATTAACATCGAATAAGATGAGAAGGGTGGAGACAGAGGTGATCTGGACACACAGAATGCAACAGCCAGAGAGAAAAAGAAAGTTTTTTCTTACAGTAAAGTGTTGTTTAAATAACGTGTACATATTAATCCATCAATTTAATTTTCATCAGTTTCTTCATGAAGGATGAATGGTTAAGTTTGCTTACGTGCAAAAACTGAACAAGTGTAGCAACATATACACAATATGTATGCGTTACAGTTAAACAACACTGGGCAAACCAAAGAAAAAGAAAAGGTATGTTTGAAGCACCAACAACAACAACAAATCAGCATCCAGGACCCACCTTGTCCTTCAGCTAGCAGCTTGCTTCTTGGTGGCTTGGTCGTGGCCTCAAGCTGATGGAATCTGTGAACTCTGTCCCTCACCAAGACAGGATCGTCCCTGGTTTGGAAGGCTAGTGTAGTACTGGGGAAGCCCAGGTCTGCCTTTTGCATTAAGCTATCAATTTGAGCCACCAAGTCAGCCTTGGCTCTCTGCAGCTTGCTGGGGTTGTACTTATGAATGTGAACTACATCCTTACTCTGGCCTAGCAGCATTGACATAAGAGAATAGAGGTCACCTGCACAGACAGACAGAGAAGGACAGGAAAGAGTGGAAATAAAGGACAACGAGATGATAGGGTATGAACAAAGTCCACATAGAGCAAATAGAAGAGTTAAAAAGGCTGGCATAATATTGCTCTGTGAAAAGTATGGTGAAAACATAATAAACAGTGATTATTTCCTGTCCATGATATGTCCTATTGTGGCGACATTTTTAGTTTCCATTGTACTCTCCCCACTTTGGAGACAACGTCCACATCAGTTGTACAACTGTGCAATACAGAAGTCCAACCCGTTTTACTTCTTTTGTATAACTGTATGATGACTTTTTAAACTTATCACAATGAAGAACAGTGAAGAGTGCATTTTGCACACTCATAAAAATGTCTCACGTTCTGCATTTTCAATAATTTATCCCAGATCCTTCCCAGTTTGTAAAATACATCACAGCAGAACTAACCAGGAGAAATCAGCACAAAGGGCAATGGATGCGTACCATTGCTGCTAAATGCTGGTCACTACATTATATTATCATACGGTATACTACAAAACACTGCATATACTGTGATCTACTATCACAGTATATGCAATACATCATTGCAATATGCTGCATATACTGTAAACTATTATAAC